GTACTTTGACACACACAGGTATTAACATTCTTGAATTTGTCCCATGGGAAACATCTACATGAACTTCGTTAGGATATTCAATAATAGAATTCAGTAACTTAAGGATATTCAATCATTTAAATTCAATAATAGAATTTAAAAGCCATGAATACAGGAATACTCAACTTTACAATGGGGTACCATTTTTTAAACACAAGGATGTTGCATGAGTGCATATTGATCCTCATTCCCTACTACTTTTTCTTGTCAGATTTCTCAATTTTTATCAGTCTGATAGCTACAAAATATGAAATGTCCTAAATGGATCTTAATTTCGATTTTCCTAATCAGTAATAGAGGGTTTGTGTGGCTTTGTGGGCTAATGAGTAAGACTGTAAAGTCATTTGAATGGCAAAGTCGGTGGTTCAAGCTCACCAGGTGCTCCTTGGAAACCCTAGAGAGGGTCTCTCTCAGTTAGAATTGACTTGATGGCACTTAACAACAACAATCAGTAATAAAATGAAACACTTTTAATGCATTTACCTGCCTTTTTAATGCATTAACTCTTCTGTGAAATGACTCTAACTTTTGCCCAAATTTGTATCCATATATATGCTTTTAACTTCATTTATGGTACTTTTTAATGAACAAGGTACTTAATTGTAATGTGGTCAAATCCATCAATTTTTACTTTAAATAGATTTCCTTGTTTAAGAAATTTTTTAATCTTCCGGGTTAGAAATGTATTCCTTAGTTTATATTTGAGATGACAAAGATGTGGTTTCATAGTGAAATCCTCAATTTATATAATGCATTTTAAAATTATGGTATAAGCTAGAGATTCATTTGAATTTTTCTCCATATCAATATCCTTTGCTCCAGTATCATCTGTTGAGTAGTTTCCCGTTCCTGGCTTATCCCAGTGCTAAACTGATTATATATCAAATATCACATATTGCTGGTGGAAGGGATGGAAACCAAATGTGAAATACATGCTGCCTTTACAAGTAAATAATTTCACTTTCAGTGATGTATCCTACACACTTCTACAGACATTAAAAGCCATGTGAATAAAGTCATTTATTACAGGTCTGTTTATACTAGCAAACAAATGAAATCAATCTAATTTTTCATAAATAGTAATCTGGGTCAATAAATTATTGCTTAGTAATGTAATGAAATATCATGCAGATGTTTTAAAAAACTGGGAAAATAACCAAGGAATTGTTCAACTTATTTCC